TTATAAGGGAGGGTAAACTTCAACTCCTTGTGCTTACGTGACATCAGGCCCAAAGGGGCCACAAGGAATGTGATCAGCTCGTGCACAGTTCTCTGACTGGCTGATGTTGCGGTCACAGGGAAGGGAGCGGGTCGGGAAAGGGTAGGGCTAGGGATTTGGGTGGGAGACTGTGACTGGTTCTGGAGGCCAGGCTTCTGGACACCGTATAGATGATCATTATCTCAGCTAAGGCTTTGTTATCTTTAAGGGCAGCAGCCCGGCGCCTCAGGGGCCTTGGAGCAGGGATCTCCCACATGTCGGTGGACCCCACTGAAGCTAGTCCCCAAGCTATGACTTTACATGTTGGGGGAGGAATTTTGTGTGTGTGTTTTCTGGTTCATGTCTTCATGACATGAAGGCGCAGGCAGACGTCTTGTGACTGGACCCCCCCTTTGGCTCTCCATGGGGTCTCTTATTCATCCTCAAGCCCCACAACTATTAAATTATTTTCTTTATTTCTGGCCAGAATCTTTTCCTTATGATTTTTATTCATTAGATTTAAGCTCTTGAGTTATATTTTATTTTTCTGAAAGAAAGCCTTTCAAATAGTGGAAGCTGGCAATAGGATAATCTTTTTAAAATAAAACATTACCCGGTCTTTCACAAAGAGGTAGACCAAGTTTTGGAGCAAGACAAGCCTGGGCTTGGGTTCTTGCATTATTAGGTCTTAGATGTGTGACCAGACAAATTAGTTAACATCACTAGATTGTGTGTGTGTATGTGTGTGTGCGTGTGTGTGTGTGTGAGAGAGAGAGAGAGAGAGAGACTGTCTATAAATGGAAGCAAATGATAGCATCTTTTAAACTGGTGAATATGAGGAAGGATGCAGGTTTCCTGCCTCAGCTGATGGCTGGCACATAGTAGGTCATCATCTTCTAGTCTCATTAGCACTTGATCTGAGCTGAACAAGCCACCCAAGCTCACACTGTCTGGGCCAAGCAGAGCAGCCCTATCATGCCTGACTATTAAGAACAAGAGCTCATCGCCATTTGCCACAGTCTCACTCATGGTTTATATTAAGATTTTAATCAATCAATCTTTCTCCATATGTGCAGATGTACAAACACCCATTCATCTTCTATCTTAGGTGCAATTAGTCTTTAAAGTCAGAACTTCACATTTATCTTAATTACATTTCATCTTGTCAGATTAAGTCCATGATTCTAACCCATGTTGAATCGATGCCTGCTCTTCAATTTTCTCCCATCACCTGGAATTTCAGTCGGTTTCTTCTCAGATATTGATACGAAGTTCACTAGAGCCAGGGTAAGGATGGAGTCTGGGGGCCATACAAAGATAGGAACCAGGAAGGATGGTTAGTTAAGGAAGAAATACCACCCACCCCACCCGGGCTGTCAGTCCCTGTGTCGGCTGTGCTGACGGTGCGCCTGCTGCTGTCTCTGCCTGGGACGCTCTCCTCTTCCCACTCATCGTTCACGTCTCTGATGGTTGCTGCCTCCTGCAGCCACTCGATCTGCTCAAGTGCCCCCACTGTGGGCTTCCTTGCTACCCTGTGCCTCCCATGTTGAAGCTCTTACAAACTCTCCTGCCTCTCAAACTCCAGGTGAGGCAGGCAGCGTCTGCCCTGCTCACCACAGTCTTCCTGGTTCCAAGCACAGCTCCTGGCGGAGAGCTGAGTCTCCATGAATGTCAAATGAATGGGTGTGTTGATACAAGTCAATGAGGTTTTTTTTTTTTCTTTCCTGACAGATGTAACACCTGGAAACAGAGGAACGGTGTTCACCTAGCCCTGGGCTCCCATGACAAGATGTGGTTAGGAACTTGACCGGTGCGTTTGGAATGGCTTGGGTTATTCGTAGACTTCTAGGTATTTCTAGTTTAGTCTCCCAGGTCAGGAAGCTTCCTCCTTTGGAGGAATGAGTGAGATAGATGGTCCCTGGTGGTGGGGACACACATGCTTCATCATGTATCATCCTCTCTTCCTAAACAGTTTCAGGCCACGGGCGAGTGGATCCTCTGGGATGTCCAGCCACTCAAGAAGTCAGAAGTATGCTATGGCCAAGGACCAAATCTTGCTCACCACCTGGCTACTCTCCTATTTGTCAGTGAAGTACCTCCATGTGCATTGCCTGTGATTCCTGCTATCCACCCATCTTCCATCGTAATAGCTAAGCTGCTCCCTTATGCACGACAGTTCTATTTGCTTATTCATCCAGGACATTCTAATATGTTGGACAAACTGTAGGGTGTGTAATTTCTCCCTCTTAATGTCTGGGTAATGCCTAGGTAAAGGAAGGATGCACCAAAGCTCATCCTACCCTCTCCCAGTAAAAATATCTGTTACATACACCAGACAGCACTCCCTCCACCCAGACACTTAAAAGAGCCCCCTTCTGGGTATTTTTAGTAGCAGTGGTGTTGGGGATTTAACTGAGAGGAAGGCAGAGATGCTTCGTCTTGAGGTGTTTCTAGACTGAAGAGTAGAAATTTGACTCCAAATAGAGGGTAATTGCATAAAACCTTCCACCAAAAACAGTTAACGGTCAGCACCGTTTTGCCACCTGACCACATCCAGGGTGTAGAGTAAGCTGACACTTCGGTGCTCACGGTGGCGATGGTTTCCACCTCTAGCTGATCAGAATAATTTTCAAATGGACGTCCCAGATTTTATTTCTGAAAATTCAAATTAAGTAGGTCGGGGGTGGATCCTGGGATTCTATGTCATTAAGTGGGCTCCCAGGTTATCCCACCTTGGCCTTGTGCCTGTGACAAGGAGGAATTATGGATAACTTGTCTGGTCTGATGAGAACCTATGAGAACATATAATGCATTTTTCTCCTTCTACTGTGAGGATGCTGATCCCAGGGAGAGAGGTTTAGAAAGAGGAAAATAATGGAGAATTGCAGAGAGATATAAGCAGGATTCCAAGGAGGGACGCATGATCCTTATGAAACAGAAGGGAAGAGGGCAGGGCACAACCATTAAAAGAATGACACAGCCATTAGCACCAAGCTGGTGTAAGAGCTGACTCCCAGTAGACCCTGAGCTTCATTATGTGCTCATTGTAACACAATAGCTGCCAAATCGCCCTCGGGCAGGTGCCAGGACAGTGTCAGGACTGACTGTGAAAGGTCAAAAAGTGGGTGATGGCCCAGTTCCTGGGAGCCCCAGCCCCTTCCCCAAAGTAGTTGGAGTAACCCCCCCCCCCCAACGCGTTGGCATATGAAGGTACCAAGCCCACAGAAACTAACAGCCCGGCACCTCGTGGCCTTCCTCTTGCCTTCTGAGACGGCCTGCACTCAGCAACTCTCTGAATAAATCTACTTTTACTTAACTGTGGCTCGCTCTTGAATCCTTTCCTGCATGAAGCCAAGGACCCTCACTTGGTGGGGTGAGTCCCAGGGGCTCCACCGAGACCTGGGACATGGCCATCCTCTCGCCCGGCATTTTTTCCTGTATTAGATGGACTGCTCTCTGCTCACCTCCAGACAAGGGCGTACATGTGTTTGTGTGTTTATGAGAACAAGGGGAAGAGCCAGTGAGAATCTCCATCTAGGGCTTCCAGGCCTCCCCCCATCCTTCTATCCCCCCAACCCACCACGGGCCTGGGTGCTGGAAACCTACAGATGCCCCGTAGGAGCCATTCAGGCCTTGTCAGGCCCTGGAGCTTGTGTCCTGAGCAGGTACAGTCCTAGGGTACTCTGGATTTTAAGAGATGATGCAATGTGGAATTGGTGAAAATAACGTACACAGTAAATAAAATAACTCCAAAACTGTGTTGGAAAAATGACTGGGTTGATACATGAAAGACGTCTGGAAGAGGCTGTGACCAAGAGAACACTGTCATGGGTAACAGGAAAGAGTCTGGGCTTGCAATCAAGTCTGACTGTACGGCCCCGGCAAGCCACATAAACCCTGTGTGCTGAGGGTTCCACCTCTGCAAAATGGCAGGATGATAACGCCTGTGTGATGAGCTGTTGCGGAAATTAGAGGAAACAGATACATACACACACACACACCCCCCATTCATGTACATGTTCATAGTCTACCTGTGAAGGAAAAGCCAGGCTGGGCTAACAAGATAACTAGTAAATCTAAGTGTAACAAGTGACAGTTTACTGATCTAAGTTCTGCTGGGCTAACTCGTAAATCTGAAGTTTAGTGTCAGTTTACTGGGCTAACAAGCTAACTCGTAAATCCAAGCTCAACAAGTGTCAGTAACGTGATCTGTTCCTAATAGAGAAGCTCCAGTGTACTGATTCCTTGGTTTTGCTGTTCGAGCCTTTTTGGCTAATAGCCCCAGGCTTGTAATTAACCCTATAAAACCCCATGCGCACATCTCGGAGGTGCTCAGAGCTTCGGAGCAGAAGCCCCTCTGAGCCCGCCGGGGTAATAAATCTGAGTACTCCAACCCTCCGAGAGGTGCTTGTTTCTTGGCTGGCCTGTCATTTCCATAACATCCCTACACGAGCAGTTCGCTAAACTGATAAAGACCAAACATGACTGGGCACCAGAGATGCCTGGAGGGTTGTTAAAACAGCTCTGAGCCTCACTCCCAGGTCTCTGCTTCTGCAGGTCTGGTGACACACCTTGCCGTGGGCACAACCCCGTGGGGGCTGGTGACGTGGGCTGGTAAAAGAATTACCAGAGACCAAAAACTGTTTAGGAAAGTTTAATAGGTACACCGCTGTAGGCAACAGTGGGCCACAAGGTCAAGAAGTGCCTGCCTGAGATGGGCGGGGAGAGGGTGGGGGGGCCGACCTGCAGGGTCTCTTACTGGGGGGAGGGGGCTGTGACCCCCAAGGAGCAGGGGCTGTGTGATCAGTTTGTGCATGGGTACGGGATTGGTTGTAAGATCTGTCGGGACTTCTTTGAACAATAGGTTTTAAGACTTTGATAAGGGCAGGATGTAAAGCCTGTCCCCCAGGGTATTGTGAGCCAAGCTATCTCCTGGGGCGAGGAGTTTTGTTAGGGTAAACACACATCAAGAGGTTCTTTTATTTTTTAATTCTGCAGAAATGCAAGTATGCTGAGTGGTCCTTCAGTGGAGCATGGGGGTTAAGGTGTCACTGGCTCCAGGCACACAGAGGGCCCAGGAGTAGGGTTTCCTGACTCCAGACAGCGCCGACCGGCTCCACGCATCTGTACTTCTAACCACGTCCCAGGTGGCGCTGATGCTGCTGATCCGGGTACCACACTGAGAATCGGCGTGCTAGGCTGGACGTGCTCTGAGAGCAAACAAGCATTATGTCTGCCCCCTTTACCAGTGCCTTCCTGCAGGTGAGCAATGAATAATTTGTCAGTAAAAAAATGAATACATGGGGTGGGGGAGGGTACAGCTGAATAGTAGAGCATGTGCTTAGCATGCATGAGCTTCTGGGCTCCATCCCCAGACGCTCCATTAAAAATACAGAGAGAGAGACAGAGACAGAGAAAGAGAAACCTAATTACCTCCTTTAATCAGACAAACAAACAAACAAAACCAAAACAAAAAAATGAATGAGTGGAATTCCCCTAAGAGCCTTGGTTTTCCTCTGTGCCGCACGAGGGTCTTACCAGGTGGTCTCTCAGGTCACCACCATTGACGCTGCAAGACTAGATCCTCCGGGTGAGGGACTGTCGTCCTCAGACCTGGATCTGTGGTTCCCAACCACGGAGCTGGAGCTGCGGGGTCCCCTGGGGTTGTGGCCTGTGAGGAGGCGGGCACTCACGCCCAGGCCAGAGCCCACCCACCCCCTCCCCTGTCCTCCTCAGAGCAGTTTCTTTCATCTGATACAGACCCTGGTGGCCTCAGGGCACACTCTCCCTCTGGGGAAGGCCCATCCCCAAGAGCACTCACTCTCCAGCCTTGTGTCCTTTGCAGCAGCATCTCATCTGCAGGGAGTCGGAGGAAGCCGCACCTCGCCCTTTCCTGCCCCTCCAAGCCCCACCTCCCTGCACCCAAGACCGCCCATGTCTACTGGGATTTGGGAGCAATCAAGGAATGCAGTCTGCCTCAGATGTTTCTTTTTCTATTATGTAAAGCAAACAAACAAATCATTTATTCTGAAAGAAAAAAAAGTAAATTCTGTGCCAAGTACCCCAGAGAGCCTCCACCGGCCGCCTCCTCCCGCCCCCGCCCTCCCCGGCTCCACAGAGGCTGCGCGGCTGTGACTGAGGCCCCGGAGCTGCGTGATCTGTCCACACCAGACTGAGATGTTTACCCCTAACTTGAGAAGCAAGAGTTCCTCCCCGTTCTGCTGTTCCTCGTGCCTTTTCATCCATCCTTTTCCAGCAAGAACCAGGGACACTGAGGGGAGACAGAAAACCCTCAAGGCAGCCCACCCAATCTAGTCTCAGGAAAGCTCAGACCATGGGTAAAATAAAGCCAAGAAGAAAAATAATGGATAAATATAAAATAAAAACTCATCCCAGAGAGTCAAGAAGGAGTAAAGCACAGGTATTACGCAGGACCTAGGCTGGGAGGGTGTCACCATCTTTATTGTTACATGGCTTCCTCTTGCTCCCAGTCTGGGGTTGCCCATCAGGACAGACTGTGCTGAGCCAGCCCACAGGCCTTGCTGAGCAGCTGGCTGCCCCCAGGTGAAGCACGGGGCTTCGGGGCGACTCTGACTCAACTCAAATGGGAGTTTACAACCAAGTTGGGCAAGTAAGACAGACACACCCGAAAAGTGAAACAACAGTTCAAGAGATGCTACAAGGCACTTGCCAAATGGACGGTGTGGACGATGCGATGAGTTCTAGGAAGTCAGCACGGGCTCCTGTAGGTAGGAACAAGGAGAAAAGGCTCCAAGGAAGAGGTCTTGAAAGATGGGTTGGATTTCAGATGCTGGGAGTAGCAGAGAAGTGGTCCAGGTCTTGGAGAAAGACTGAGAAGAGACTTGGAGACAGGGACACCGAAGGCGTGTCCTGGGGAACTTCCAAGACGTGTGCGCTGGTGGCCAAACAGGCCTAGCTAGAACTGAGGATGTGTTCAAGGGAGGAGTCAGACGTGAGGCTGGAGAGGTGCCTGAGACTCAGGTGTGGACCCTGAGATGACACGCAAAGGAGTTTGGACATCACCTCTGCAGCAGGGAGGCTCTGAACATCTTTGGAGACACACAAACAAGAACATGTTGGAAACTGTGGCAGCTGGGAATGCAGGAGCAACATTTTCAGGGCAGGAGGCAAGGCTGTCTCAGCCACACTTTCTTTAAAAATAGGCACTCTTTGCTCCAGCACAGGCCCCACTTTTCACTCCAACACAGGTGCCTCCTTGGTCTCCGCACCCACCAAAACCCCTCGGCTCTGGAAACACATCACAAGGTCTACAGCTAGCATCACTCTCCTGCCCCTGGTTATAACCAGCTGGGCCATAGCTGGGGGCCTCGGTATCCAGGCGGCATGGACTGGACTCACGACAGCCTAGGTCTCCTGTGCTTGGCATTGGATTTGGGCCCAAGCATGGGCCGAGACAACGTGGAGGCGCCACACATGGCTCTGGGCTTGGGCAGGGTGGAGGAAGAGGAATTGGTTCTGGAGGCAGACAAGATTCTGGGCGCTCACGGGGCTGTGGACGTGGACATGGCTCTGGAAGCTCACACTCTGCTGGGCGAGGACGCGGGGCTGGACATGGCTCTGGACACAGACTGGGTTCTGAAAGTCGCCGTGGTGGAGGACATGGCCGGAACTCTGGACTTGCACACCGTTCTGGCCGTGGGTACATGCGTGGAGCCGGAAGGGGACGTGGGCATGGAGAAGGACGTGGACATGGCTTCAGTGATGGCTCTGGACATTGGTTCACACGCTGCGGAGGACAGAAGCTTGAGCGTGGACGTGGCTCTACACGTGGCCTCAGCTCCGGGCAGGAGGTACCCCAGGAGGGTCGTGGGGCACAACTCCCGGGGCAGCGTCTGATGGGAGGAATCTGAACAGAACACTTCTGAGGGGGGACCTGCTTGGGGCAGCATGGGGAGGAAATCTCTATTCGGCACTTGGGTCCACGCCTCTGGGAGCAGCCTGATGTGGGACGCCGCGGACAGCCGCTGCCGTAGATGGGCTCAGAGCGGCGGGGCGGGGTGCAGTAATTGGAGGAGCCCGAGGAGCATCTTGGTGGCAGGCAGCTGCTGTAGTAGGGCCCGGAGCGCCGCGGCGGGGAGCAGCTGCGGCTAGAAGGCTGCAGCTGGCGAGGAGGGAGGCATCTGCTGGTGCTCTGAGAGCGACGCTGCGCAGTGAAGCCCCCATAAGAGCCCTGGGTCTGGCATCGGGGTGCAGAGGTGCCAAACGAAGCCTGGGACTGACGCTGGGGGGCGCAGCCCCTGTAGGAGCCCTGATATTGGCCCTGGGTGGAGAATCTCCCCTGCGTCTGGCATACTGGGGGTCCTGCTACATAATTCCTGACCGGCTGAGGAGCTGGACAGGGTGCATAGGTGTGGACTGGGCATTCCACGTAGCAAATTTCTGGGTAGCAAGCTGGAGCACATTCCACAAAGCAGGTCTGCACAGGGTATGGGGCTTCGTATTGCACGTGGGATACCTCAGACCGGCCTGCGTCTTGGGTCCAGGAGATCTGAGGCTGGCACGGAGCCTGGCACTTCACCTGGGTGGTCTTAGATGGGCGTGGAGCCTGGCACTTCACCTGGGAAGCTTGAACTGGGCATGGTGCAGGGCACTCCACAATTTGCATCTCACAAGGGGCTTGGACCACCACCTGGCTCTTGGCAGAGAGGGGCTGGGAGGGGCAGATAAGAGAACCCTTCACACAGCACTGGGGGTGTGGCAGGCAACACTGAATCTGTGGCTGGTCACACATGGTTCTGATGCAAGCAGGTAGGCAGAACCTGAGGGGAGAAAGACCAGGGTGAGGCAGGTGAGAGTTTTGGGGGAGGAAGGGACAGGACCCTGCTTCTTCCCTGGCCTCTCTTCCCACACTCTCAACTTTGAACCCAAGAATCCTTACTGAGTTAGCTGGACCCAAAGTTAGTTACCATTGCCCGCAAGACCTGCCTCGGATCTGCCAAAGCGCCTGACCTGAGGAAGCTTCAAAGGCACAGCCAGGATCGTAGGTGGGCATACCAGTGTCCGGCACAAGAGGGCGCTGATGACAAGAAAATGCCACCATGTCCTCAGACCGACCAGGCGGGAGGGAGCGCTATAGGAAGTAGAGCAACACCATGCTCCCGAGGCTGTAGCCCAAAGTGGGGACTCCACACCCACAGGAGCCTGGATACCCTCAAGCACACGCATTGGCAGCACACGCATATGTGCACACGTGTGAAAATGCACGTGGGGAACCAACACTCAGGCACCATTTGCCCTCAAAGAAAGTGTCCACTGGAGAGTAAAGGATCCAGTCAGCTACTGGACAGCTCAAACCCAGCATAAAATGTTTGTTTCTCTCTATTCAATTTTTTAAGGTGAATTTGCTTAAATAAGCCCTCCTGGGCATATGCAAAACACACACATGCAAAATACACCAGCCCTGGAAAGGCTCAGGACCAACATGGCAACTGGCCCAAACAGGTTGCTGATGTTAATGACCCGAACCGGCACAGCCTGCTAACTTCAGAAATGTTTTCTGCATGGCAGGGTGCAGTAACCCAAAAAGTGCGAGCTTCCTAAATCACAAGCCTGACATTCAGACACGCATGAAACTCTACACTGCGGGAACATTACAAACACGATGTGGAAGCTGCAGACACGCTCTCTACCACCACATTCAGCTAGAGAGAAACTCAGGGCAGCCCCCCGCTCCTGTGCCCCCCTCCCCCGCCGTCGCTGCCTGTTCACGTGCATCAGCCCAGTGACCAGCACAGCAGCGGGGCTGATATGCCAGTCAGCTCATCCAGCAAAATGCATTTCAATAAACTCCCGAGATACTGAATATTGGCAATGATGGGCAAAACTTCCATTGTCCACTTGTACTGAATATCTAAGAATTTAAGTGTATATGCCCTTGAGGAAGGTAAACTTCAGACACACAAGTCTGCTCACAAGATGTAAACTATCAGTGCATCTTTTCCAGGGAGAGAGGTCCTGATGAGGGAAGATGGCACCTGAGGAAAAGCCCAGGGTTATCCAAGGCAAATACACTGACCTCACGGCCCCAGCTCTTCACCCAGACTCCACAGATTTTCTTCTCCCATTAAAAGTCCACCAGACTGTTCTCTGGGGAATGTACCATTCTTCCTCTGCCCTAGCTTCTCCCCTCACTGTGCACTTGTGAATCTGTGCACCCCTTGACCATCATCCAGACCCCAATCCCAAGACCCAACCCCTGTACTCACCCTCCTCACAGGCAAGCAGTCATTCAGGCTGAGACATTTGGACAGAGGGCTGTCTTTATATAAAGGTGTCTGGGTCTGGCTTAGACCATGAGACAACTGGTTGGCATCTGCCTGACTCATCGCCCGGACTGGCATTCCAGCGGCCAGTCCCCTCCCTGTATGCCTGTCCTTGCAGTCACCTACAGAATGTGGGAGTGTCTTGCCTTAGTGCCGAAGCCACTCAGATATGGAGGATATGTTTTTCCTCCTCCTTCACCGTCAGTTTTTTCTCCATCCCTAGAAGGCCTGGTGGGGAATGATGAGGGTTGGAAAAGGTATCTTCTCTCTTGAAAGATGATTCCAGACTCCTACCTTTCTCCTAATCTCAGAGTCTCACCAGAAAGATATACCAGAGGGGAAAAAAATCCCTCTTGAAATTAAGTCACAGGCATTAAAATCACCTCAAAGATAGAGGCAACTCTGCAAAGTGAAGAGAATGTTGGGTTAGAGCTGAGCCTAATATTCCGGCTTACAACTGTGACCTTTATAACCAGCCTGAATGCTCATTTACTCATCTACAAAATGGAGACAAATCTATTTTCCTGACTTGTGGTGAGGATTAAGGCAATTACTTTATGCAAAAGCATCCAGGCAAGAATGATATTCAAAGTATCTAACATCCACTCCGAGTGAATGCTGACCATAAGCAGCCAACACACCTGGACTGATGGCTGTCTGCCGCATCCCAGGCCTGAGCTGAGCAAGCTGATGGCTTTACTTACAGCTGTGCTCACTGATGCTATGAAGTGGTCCTTGGAGACAGCACAGTGCAGGCGAGAAATGACAGCCTGGCACCCTGTGAACCTGACACTGTCAGAATGGAGTATCTTTTTATCTTGGGCCTACGTAGGTTTTGCTCACATCAGTTTGTTAGTAATCTTTGGAATTTAGAAAGAGAGATTTTACTTAAGATTCTAGATATCAATCTTTTCTTCTGAAGTCAAAAGTTCTAGCATAGGTGACACTACCTTCCATCAACATGATTAACAGCTGCCCCCTTTTTAGACAGGGCATACATTTTTCTTTTCCACAATTCTCCATCATTATTTCCTCTATCCACAATGCAATGCCAAATGTAAGTTTCATTTTATTGGTTTATTTGTCCCCCTATTTTCCTTTAGTGAAATTTAAGGAAAGTAAAATACTCCTTCTGCCTGGATCATTTCCCTTGTTGATGTAAACCTTCAGCCCCTGTAGCATTTAAGATTCTGACCAAGATTCTGAGTAGAAACTTGAAAGTTAGACAGATTCTGGGATTGAATCTGAGCTCTCATGCTTGCTAATGGAGTGAAAGCTCCTTAACTTCCATAAACCTCGGATTTTTTATCTATAAAATGGAAAGAAGAAAAAAAGAGAGGACAAAGAGTAAGAGGGGAGGAAGAAGAAAGAAGTAGAGAAAAAAGAAGAGGAGGAAGAAGAAGAAATAGAAGAGTCATCGGATTATTGTGTGCATTAAATGAGATAACTGATTTAGCACTTCATTAGCCATTTACCTCCCTGGGCTTTAGTTTCCTCATATGAAGATGGGAGAGAAAATACTTACTTCCCCAGATTCTCACGAAGATAAAATCAGATAATCCATGTGAAAATGCTTTGTGACCTACAGTGCACATGCCAGTCAGGATTCTGAAATCCCTCCCATGGGGACGTCTCTGCCTGGACCAGCCTGATTTTAGAGTCCGAGTTCTGGATCCCATCACTCGTTCCAAAGTGGTCTCTAGACACCGTTATTCCAAACTTGAGTGGAATTATAGACTTTCAGGGGGTCAGGGCAACAAGGATCCCAGGACTTATCTGGCCCCCATCCTACAGGGAGGGACTCGGGAGAGATGAACCTGTTTGGGACCTACAGCTAACGGCTGCCTCGGAGGGACAAGGCTCCAAGTAGCTCTAGTCCCAGACGAAGCCTCTTTCACTACAACAGTGAAATTATTTCTCTGATCACACAATCTGGCCAAAATGCACTGAACTTAGATAGCCCTGGGCTTGGTCTTGGCCTAAAAGGTAGTCAGGAAATTAGTGAAAAAGCAAAACAGAACATAGACCCACTGGCCCCTTCACAGTGTGAATTACTGAATCCTAATAGTGTGTCTCTCCCACTCACCTTCTGATAGAACACGCATTTCTTGAGAATCTCTATCTTATTCATCTTTGTATCCCTATATTCCTGACTTAGTGGAAGCCTGTTGAGTGGATGGATAGGTGAGTGGAAGGACGGCAGGCAACACATCTTAAACCACTGGGGAAGGAGCTGATGGTGCTCAATCCAGAGGCCGAAGAGCACCGCAGCCCTTGTTACTCCCTGCTGCTTGCTTTTTACAAAGAGCAGTGGGAGGAGGGTCAGGGGAGAGAGCCTGGAAAGCACGTTGATGATGACAGTGAGGTGTTAGTGATTTCAACAATATCTATAGATAGATGAGGCTATTTAGAAATAGCCGTGTAAACTGAAATACAAATGGCTAGAAATATAATGATATAAATCTATCAAAAATGATAACATGAATCTACAAATAAGTGCAACAATGTAGTGATTTACAAAATTGATATAAAGATATAAAAAGAGAGCTGAGTATATAGGTATCTACAAAAATACAAAAATAGAATAGATGGAGTAAAATACATGGCAAAAGATAGAGATGAAGTTATAGATTTAAAAAAAAATACAGACATGTAAATGGTACAAATTGACAGTGGAATACACGGGAAAGAGACAGTAGGCACGGGGATAGCAGTATATATGGATACATTAATTAAAAAGACAGAGGAGACTTGGAAAAAGCACACATAAATCTGGAGATAATTTACTGAGCATTTGCTATATAATTGTCACTTGGCTAAGAATTTGACACATATTGACTGTCTTAATCTTTAAAATAGCCCTGTGAGGTACACATTATTATCATTGTTTTATAGCTGAGAAAACGTAAGTTCAAAAAAGTAGTAATTTGTTGTAGGTCATAAGCTTGGGAATGGCAGAACCAGGATTCACAGCTAAGTCACCGAGAGACAGAGGCCTTGGGAAATCAGTAGCTAATGAGAGGAAGTTACCTTGAGTTACAGATGCACAGAGAAGCAGTCTATGTTTTATCATACTGAGACCCCTTTCAGGAGTCGCTATCCTTTGGGACCCTGGCTTGCTGAAACTTAAAAGAATGTACTGGAGTCTTACTGACGCCTTGATCCTGAGAATGAGAACATAAAACTTGCCCTTCATGCACGAAGATGTATGTTTTCAGCAGAGTCAGGAAGACTTTTTCCTTGGTACCGTTTCACAACTTCTTTCCATTTCTGTTCCCCTCGCATCATTCTAATAGCCGAGGTGCTGGAACTCATCCCTGAAATGAAGATAATGTTTTGTTGTCTAAGATATCGTCCAATCTTCCCATGGAATTCTTACTGTCAGGTGACTGCTATCCTCAAGAACTGAAGCAGTCAGAGTCTTACCTTGGCACCAGGGTAGCATTGAATTTTCCTCCCTAAGCTCATCTTCAGTAGGTCAAATGCATATTTGAGCCACATAGTACTTATGTGTCAACCAGGGTAAAGATGAAGGCAAAAGGCAGTATGACAGATTATTGCCACGTGGCTGTTTAACAGATGAAGGAACAAGGACGCATAAGTACAGCATCAGGGGGAACAAAGAAAAGTTAATATTAAACAGAGCAGAAGAGCTCCCCAGTTCTGTTTACACCCCCACCCCTTACCGGAGGCACTACAAGATGAAAGAGAAAGCAAGCACCATGAGGGTAGTGATGGGGCACTGAATGGGTACGTAAGGTGGTGTGAACAGATAGAGGAGGGAGACAGAGAGAGAGGCTGGAGCCGGAAGCACGTAGGTGGAGCAGGCGTAGAAACAAGGGGGTATGACACACAGTGGAGATATGTATCTATTTTAACTCCATTTTTTGCAAACGTGCTCAAATCTGCAAATTTGATAATGCTGCTCAGTTAATGGCAATGATAAAAAACCAGGCTAGGCACGTCGTGCTTCTGAGCATACAGACAATTCGGGGCTTCTGAAAGGCTTTCTGACTATCTTGCAACACTCTCACCATCGCATAGTAACATTCTGAGTCTAGTGCAAATCTAAACCAACTACTTTCTTAATCATAGTAAACTCTCAGACAGTCATCATCCTGGTGAATGGAGTCAGCTTAATCAGATCCACAGCCTCATGGAATGTTACCCATATAACATCGCTGGGTTACCAATATCCACTGATTTAGAGAACGCAAATGCCAGTCTGTCTTTAGTCACTCAGAAGGCTTTAGCTGCATCCTCAGAACTGCTCCCAATAAAGGCTGGTGCTTCATTTCACTGTCTTTCCTCAGAATTCTTTCCTCTGCTCAGAACACTCTCTCCCCCACCACTACTCCCCTTGTATCCCAAACATCTACTGATATTTCCACTACATTTAGCTCAGACAACAGTGTCGCCATCAGTTTTACTTGGCTCTGTTCTCACCACCACCCCAGGTGAAATGAACCATTTCTAGAAGCAGCAGCCAGTCTTCTTTTACAGGATCTACAAATACTGTACTTCTTTGCTGATGGGTCTGGTTTCATCACCAGATGTTGAGCACCTTGGTGACAGAAGACTGTGCCTAGCAGGAAGCTAGATTCCTAGAAAGTGCCTAGTAAATGTTTGTTGAATGACATTATAAAAATCAGTCTAGTGATAAGTCCCAGAAGCCAATGAAAAGAGCTGGTTCTCTGATGGGGTACCAGGCAAGACGTCAGCAGACACGAGCCGGCTGGAAAGAAG